CTGAAATGTGAATTTTGGGAGTCCCAGCTGGCCCTGGTGGGGTTGGGGTTGGGTTCAGCCTCAGCTCTTCTGCTCTCAGCTGCAAATGGATGCAAGATTGGGAAAATGGTTTGGATTTCTCCAATTTTCCATCAAAAATGGATGGAATGAACCATGGAAATTTATCATTTTGTGTGTGTGTGTCCCAGTTGTGCAAGGCGCAAAAATGACCTTTAAAACCACAAAATTTTAGTCATCCTTGTTGTCAATTGCTGCAGAACTGGATTGGGATGTTCCCAACGGGCTCCCAAGAGTTGAACCAATTTTTTTTCAAATAAATCAACATAAATCAACATATTCATTGACCCTCTTGAGCTCTTGTGGATATTACACGGACAACATTTAAAACTTGCATTTGAAAGCATATCTGGGACATGAACACTCATTTTGTTATTGCTGGAGCCTAGAGAACTAAGCTATGAAAATGATAAATTTTTGCTAATTATCATTGAGTCACACTTTGAAATAAAACTATGTTCCCACTATATTTAAAAAAAAAATGGAAAAATATTTGAAAACATCAGTTGTCAAAATAAACAGAATATTCCCTCCCATGGGAGTGGAGGAAGGGTCATTAAAAGAAGTTCAACACATTTTCAGGAATGCAAAAATGGGCAAAAATTGTACTATGAGAAAATTTTGCAGCCTAAAATATTTTTTTTTACTTGATAAAACAAAATAAATACTTTAATATATATTTTGCCATTAGTACATGTATATATAATTATATATAAATTTTCAGGTAACATTTCTGATACAGCTTGTCAGTCATCATTCTGATAAATAATACTCTTGTTATTATTGTTAAATAATAATAATAAGGAGGTTTTAAGTAATCAGGAGGTTTTAAAGCCATTCAAACACAGTGCCTTGAAATCAAAATCCAGATTTAATTCTTTAGAATGTTTTCCCCAAATGAGGATAAATGTGGAGTCTGCCCTTTAAATTAAATGACAGGGAGAAGTCAGGGGGGAAAAAAAACCAAAACAAACCAAACAATAGCAAACAGTTTGAGACTGATTCTGCTCATTGTAAATAAGGGGCTGGCTCTAATTTAGTTAATGAGATTTCACCAGTGTAAATTGAATTAGGTTCATTATCCTATGATTAGAACGATCTCTATCATTGCAAAAAAAAAATAAAATAAAACAACAGTTGAAGGGCTTTTTTTTTTCTAATTTAACAAAAACTACTGGAATGAGATGTAAAAGCAGAACTCTCACAAAGTTGCTGTGAGCAGAAAAATATTTTTTCCTAATTGACTAATATCGACTTTTATTTTTTAAGAAATTTTAATTATTTTTACTATTTAAAACTGCATCTGTTATCCATCAGAACAAAACTATTTCGTGCTATACACATTAAAAAGAGGGTTTTTTCTTATTTTCATCTTTTCTTTGCTCAGCAGACACCACCCCCACAAGATGTGTGTAAAATTCCTTTGCCGATGAGAGCAGCAATGCACGGCTGAATTCTCAGGTGTCTGAACCTCCAGAAAACAGGGAAGGGCTGGGTATAATCTGCTGTACATTAAATATTATTATATATAAATGATATATCTCTGCTCTACATTAAATATTATTATATATAAATGATATATCTCTGCTCTACATTATGCATTATTATATATAAATGATATGTATCTGGTCTACATTATACATTATTATATATACATGATATATATCTGCTCTCCATTATACGTTATTATATATATCTGCTCTACATTCTATATTATTATATATTTCTGCTCTCTATTATTCTATATTATATATACATGATATATATCTGCTCTCCATTATTCTATATTATATATACATTACATTGTTATGGGTTTTAAGTGTCCTACAACAACCAATTATTTTGATAACACCTTTAATTGCCTACAAAGCTCCGCGAGGGGACAGGGGAGGGTTTCTCTTCCCTGATAAAACCATTGAACCGCCTGTTGATAAAGCAAATTATGCCGCGAGTATCCAGCAAGTGCTGAAAAGATAAATCCGCTCGCAAAGGCGAGGCAGGGGCTGCGCTCCCTGTCCCAGCACCAAACTTCCAATGCCACCTAATGGAGAGCCCGCACCTCGCAGCGATCCCGGCCGGGCTTTTCCAGCTCCCCAAAGCTCCGGGAGGATGCTGGAATTACAAAATTCTTCAGCAAAGGATGCGCAGATGTTTGGGATGCCTTTGGGGTCCCTAAAATGGGAATTTGGGGTTGTTTGGGTGCACGGCTCGGGTTTGTGATCTCCGATTTTGCTGGCAGGAGGAGAAGGTGCAGAGGGATGTGAGAATTACCCGGGATGCGCAAATCGCCCTCCCCGAGGCGTGGTCGGGGCGCTGGAGCATCTCCCCCACGGCTCGGCTCACACGTGGGGACACCGAGAGAGGGACAGACTGAGGAGAAATCTGTCCTTGCCCCTTTCCGTGTCGTATCTGGTTTCTGCAGCGCACCCAAGCCTCTCTCCGTGCGGGAATGCTCCCACACCCCCAGGGCAGCGCTGCGGGCACACAGCTTACCCTTGCACACACAGAAATACAGGGCCAAACCGCTTTAGGGCCAGCTTTTAGGGCTGACCCCCAAAGCAGGCCCTGATTTAAAGCTGGTTTGAGATTTCCCGTTGAAGGTGGTTGGAGATTTCCCTGTGAAACCCCTGGAATCAAGTTGGGATTTTGCTGTGCCCTGTGTCCCTTGCAGCAGAACAAAGCCCCATTCTCTCTCTGACCCGAATGTATTTTCTTTACACCGTGCCCAGGATTTCCCTCTGGTTTATTTCTGCAGGGCTGGATCCAAAGCTGCCGCTGATTTTGGGGAGATTTGGGGTAGGGCCCTGCACTTCTGCGGCTCCTGACCTGCTGCAGCCAGGGCTGAACCTCTGCTGATTCGAATGATAAATATCGGCCAACACAAAAATAATTTAGAGAATTGGCTTGGAGGGATGGAAACCCAATAATTTTCCATAAAACTTGCTCTGCTTATGCCAAGCTTTGCACCCCTTCACCACCGATTTTAAGCATATTCTGGTATGGCAAGATTAGGGATAAAAATGAACTATGACAAAGATACAGATTTAAGATTTACAGGTTTTTAACTGCACGGTTCTTGTAGAGTTTTTACACTTTAAGCAGCGGGATTAAAGACAGTAGAGCTGGGAATAAAATGCAAAGGGCGTTTTGCTGCTTTAAAAAAATTGAAATAATAGTAAACCAAGCTCAGACAAACCCCACAAAAGAAAACCCGAAGCAAATAAAGGCGAGTGGGACAGATCTCCGTGTTTACTTTTCTTTCTGCTGTTGGATCCCGTGCCGTAGCCACAAGAACTGCAAGCATAGGGTGCGGAATGGGAAATAAAAGGCAGGAAAAAGAAAGAATAATAATAAAAAAAAAATAAAGCAATTCAAGGAGAAGGGAGCAAACCCAAGAGCTCGGAGCAGCAGCTCCGCAGAGCCGCTCCCCTGCTCAGGCTCCGTCCCTGGAGCAGCGGAGCTCTGCGAGAGGAGAAGGGGACGCTGCAAAGCCCGGGCTCGCAGGGGAGGAAGAGGAAGAGGAGGAGGGTTCGGGACGGGGAGAGCGAAGAGAAAAAGTCCAGTACATACAGCTCGATGCGTCCACCAGCCCCCAGCCTCCGCTTCTCTCTCTCTCTCTCCCTCTTAAGTCAAAAAGGAAATGCGGTTCTTTTTTTTTTTTTTTCGGGATTTTTTTTTTTTTCAGAATCAGAAAACGAACCGTCAGGAAGTTGGCAAAACCTCTGACTAAACAATCAATGGAGGAAATGCAACAAATTCGCTTTGGCGGCGGGGGAGCGAGGGCGGGCGCAGGACGGAGGCGCGCAGGCAGCGCGGGGAGCTGCGCATCGCTCCCAGCGCTCCCTCCCGCCATTCCATCACAATCCTGAATTATTTACCCCACGGACACCCAGGTACGCGGGGCGGGGATGGGCTCCTGTGTCCCCAATCCCTGGCAGAAATCTCCATATCTGTCCGCAAAAGGAGCCCCCTGTGCGGGTGCGCATCGATTTCCCAGGAGTTATCCTCCCTTCCCAAGGGCTGGGATGAGCAGGATGGAGAAATGAGCCAGTTCCGTGCTTGTGTTTCTGCTACAAGTGCAGTTTGTACAAGGGCGAGGGTAGCAGCGAGAGGTTTGAGAGGAGTTGGTTTAATATATATATGTATAATTTTTTTTCCTAATTTTTCTACCATTCACCCGTTCCTCCCTCATCCCGGAATTCCAGTCTCTGCCTGCCGGTACGGAGCGAGCCGCTCACATCCCCTCCGTCTCTTCCTTAGGTAAAACAAATAAACAAATAAGTAAATCCTTGGAAGTTCCTCGAGCTGTGCGGAGCGGAGCTGCCCCGTCCTGCCCTCCGCTCAGCGCCTCCTTTATGCTCCCGTTCGGAAATTCACCCCCAAACCCTCCCAAGGGATTTTCTCCCAGGTGCTGCTGAAGGCGGCCGGGACCCCCCATGTCCCCTGGGTGCGGGGCTGGTAGCAGGGGGGGTGCGGAGCCGCCCTCCCCCAAAAATGCGGGACACGCTCCGGGGTCACCGCTAAAAGCAACACGAGTCCGTATTTTTAATAAAGAGCGTTCTCGGGCGAGCTGGCCGCCTTCCACCCGCCCCACGGATGAGCTGGCTCTGTAAACACTGCAGAGCAGATTAACGCTGCTGTTGGAACCTCATGGCGAGAGCCCTGCCTTGAGAGAGCTCTCGCTGCTGCTGATCCGTGCCCCCAAAAGAGCCCTTTGGGTTTAGGGGTGACAACACCCCCAGAGCCGTCCCTCTCCATCACCAGCCCTGCCCTGCTCTGAGTGTCCCCCCAGATCCTCTCCATCGTCATCTCTGCCCTCCCTGGGAGGCACCGATGCTTTGGGTGTTCCTTCACTCCTTCTCCACCACCATCGCTCCCTGTTTGGGGTTCTGGGGTGACCCCACTCCCTCTCCATCCCCATTTCTCCCTGCCCGAGGTTCTCGGGGTCTTCCCAGTCCTTCTCCATCCCTGTCTCTCCCTGTTCGGGGTTCTGGTGTCCCCCCAATCTCTCTCCATCCCCATCTCTCCCATGCCTGGGTGTTACACAGACTCTGGGTGTCCTCTCAGCGGAAGCAGCGGCTTCAAAAATCCCCTTAATTTTAAGTGATATTTTTTATTATTACTATCACGATGATACCTTTGAAGAGCTGGGAACCGATGTCAGAGCGAGCTGCCAGCGGTGGCAAGAGCACCTTTGGCACCTCCCGCACCCGGGACAGGGAGAACCTGCTCCAGCTGCGAGGGGAACGCGGGTCGGCTTCTAGGGAACCTCTGGAAACCGAAAAGGAGGAGGATAACTGGCAACAGCAAGGCCATTCGCCCAGGAATTCCATAAACGCACCAGTCCCGGGGGAAGAGGAGCCCCGGGATGGCCGGGATGGGGATTGGGAGGGGGGAGATGCTGGGTTTGGTTCTTTTGCCAAAATATCACCGGGCTGGGGAGGGGGAATGAGCAGCGAATCAGGGATGAAAGAGTGGGGGCAGAACTGGGTGATCCGAACGGGGAGAGCCCAGAGGAGCCCGCGGAGCCACCGCTCCGCCCTCCACCATCCCTCAGTGTCACCCACCCAGCTCAGCGCTGAGAGAGCGCGGAGCAAAAGGAGATGAAATACCAACAGTCGTGGAAATAAAGCCCCAAGGACAACCAAGAGTATTAAAAAAAAAAAAATCAAAAAAAGAAAAAGAAAAAAATTAAAAGGCGGGGAAGAAGGAAAGGGAAATTAGATAAATAAACAGGAAAAAAAAAGGAAAGGGAATATATTTTGGAAAGAAAAAGCGAGGAAAACAATGGGGAGAGGAGAGGAGAGGAGAGGAGAGGAGAGGAGAGGA